AGTATCAACAGGTCAAAATGCGCATTTGACGTGAGATTTCATTGGCTAAGAAAGTATGAGATTTCATTGGCTAAGAAAGTATCAACAGGTCAAAATGCGCATTTGACGTGAGATTTCATTGGATAAGAAAGTATGAGATTTCATTGGCTAAGAAAGTATCAACAGGTCAAAATGCGCATTTGACGTGAGATTTCATTGGCTAAGAAAGTATGAGATTTCATTGGCTAAGAAAGTATCAACAGGTCAAAATTCGCAATTGACGTGAGATTTCATTGGCTAAGAAAGTATGAGATTTCATTGGCTAAGAAAGTATCAACAGGTCAAAATGCGCATTTGACGTGAGATTTCATTGGCTAAGAAAGTATGAGATTTCATTGGCTAAGAAAGTATCAACAGGTCAAAATGCGCATTTGACGTGAGATTTCATTGGTTAAGAAAGTATGAGATTTCATTGGCTAAGAAAGTATCAACAGGTCAAAATGCGCATTTGACGTGAGATTTCATTGGCTAAGAAAGTATGAGATTTCATTGGCTAAGAAAGTATCAACAGGTCAAAATGCGCATTTGACGTGAGATTTCATTGGCTAAGAAAGTATGAGATTTCATTGGCTAAGAAAGTATCAACAGGTCAAAATGCGCATTTGACGTGAGATTTCATTGGCTAAGAAAGTATGAGATTTCATTGGCTAAGAAAGTATCAACAGGTCAAAATGCGCATTTGACGTGAGATTTCATTGGTTAAGAAAGTATGAGATTTCATTGGCTAAGAAAGTATCAACAGGTCAAAATGCGCATTTGACGTGAGATTTCATTGGCTAAGAAAGTATGAGATTTCATTGGCTAAGAAAGTATCAACAGGTCAAAATGCGCATTTGAAGTGAGATTTCATTGGCTAAGAAAGTATGAGATTTCATTGGCTAAGAAAGTATCAACAGGTCAAAATGCGCATTTGACGTGAGATTTCATTGGCTAAGAAAGTATGAGATTTCATTGGCTAAGAAAGTATCAACAGGTCAAAATGCGCATTTGACGTGAGATTTCATTGGCTAAGAAAGTATGAGATTTCATTGGCTAAGAAAGTATCAACAGGTCAAAATGCGCATTTGACGTGAGATTTCATTGGTTAAGAAAGTATGAGATTTCATTGGCTAAGAAAGTATCAACAGGTCAAAATGCGCATTTGACGTTAGCTGAAGTCAATTTAGCACTGACAATTAAATTATGGACAAGATAATAAGCGCAAACTTTTGATTTTACTATTTAAACTGCTTACTTCCAAAAGACGGTCCTTTTGAACATCTTTTCAATTAATTAGGTATAAAGTTTTTCCATCGAGAGCTCATTATTTCAAATAACTTCATTGAAGCACAGAAGCAAAGCTACACTCCGCTAACAATAAAAAAAGAATGAACAAAAGTTCAAGAAAAAGCTGTCTTGAAAATGAAGCCTTGAAAAAGTGACCTTCGCTGAAAAAAGGTATCGAATCACAAACAGCCTCTTCATTGAATGCAAAGACACCGCTAGAGGTCTGACGCCTAAGAATTTCGAATTTCACACAATCAAACTTTCAGATTATTGCTATTTATTGAATCAAGTGGACAGTAATGCACTTAATTAGGCGGATATTACACATGCTGCTTTAAAAGATAGCAGAATAAGTTCTAACAACAAAATCAAAATGAACTTTTTTTGACAATTTCCTTTCCTGAAACTGAAGAGAAAATACACGCGACCCATATGAGTGTCTTCACTACGATCACTGACACTTTGTGATTATATCAAACATAGCCAACAGAAATTTGACAGAGTCAATGAACGCAAGGAACAGAAAAACTTTCGAACTACAAAAAATGTACATTTATAGCCTTGGAGCTCTTTGAAACTCAAGAGCATTGATATTGACCCTTTTCAGATGAAATTTGAGAAAACTATATTACTAGATAAAATTTTACTCCGCTGGGAAATTAAAGTATATTTTTTGAACAAGAAGTCATTAACTGTGTGTTTGCCTTACTTTTAACAAAGGAAATGAACTTAACGTAAAAAAACAGTCTTAACGCAAAAAAAAAATCAAATGTGAGCGTGAACAAATGTTAACTTTTCCTTTAAAAAAAATTAGAAAATTAACACGACATATGTAAGAGTCTGAACCACGTTCATCTACTCTTAATTAATTGTTTTAGCATTTTAACCGACTATTCTGCCTCTGAAAAATTTTTTGTCAAAGATATAAGAACTGCAACAAGCGGCAAACTTACAAACAAGGATAGCCGGTTATTGTGCAAGTAGCAAAGAATGTTCCGACCATAGTCTTAGAAAAAACGAACAACAACTTTTTTCAAATTAATGTCACTTTTTCGGCATGGAGTGATTAAAGACTCCGAATGAAAAACTACAGCTTAGGCACATTCGACATTTAAAGAAAAATGACTAGAAAAACAAAAAAGTTGTCTAGGTTTTTTGAATTTTTGATCCCAAAATTGCATTAAAAATCTACAAAAACTAATTTTACACGAGTATACTTACAATTACGCATAAAAAAGCTATTGCAAATGGCTTAAATTAAGCAGAAAAAAGCGTGCTCGTTCGCTTTATTCATTCGAATTTAGACGAAAAATCGAAAATTTCAAACCGGTTTCTCTCGACACTGGGAAATCATATCTGAAATTTTTAAATGTCATTTGAATCAAGACTGAAAGGGTTTTAACATATCATTTAACTCTGTCCCATGATTATTTGTGGAAGCTCATTTTGCGTCGAAAACAAAAGAAAAAAAAGAAAAACTAAAACACAACCGAATACAAAGTTCCTCCCCATTTTTCGATTGGTTGGAAGAAAAAAATCAGGATTTCCAAAATCAGGCTTCTTAGAAGGTTTCAAATGACATCATCAAAATTTTTAGTCCATCACATGAGCCAGTTTATACGCCGTAAGAATTTTTACGGACGAGAAAAACTGGTTTTAGACCCGGAATAATTAGGTAACTCTTTAAAACTAGTTATTGATATTTTATGGATGGACTTGATAAACTAGCATGAAACTACTTCTCGGCGAATAAACTTTTACGCGTATTAATAAACATTTGTCTAGAAGAGACTGGCAAATGGGCGTTTTGAATTAAATTAATATTAATTTTATTTTGTTACAGATTATCAGACTTAGGGACGCCATGCCCTCCAGAGATTCAATTTCCGACAACATATAGAGTTCTTCTTTGTCACTATTGTACATCTATTTTTGATCAGCCAACGCTAAAATTTATTTACAGGCGTCTCAAGCGCCAAAATTAACTAAATTCGAGGGGGAGCGCGAGCCGAAACAAAGACTGATTGGTCAAAACCCTTCAAGACCAAAAACGGCATTTTGACATTGTTTATCGATAAAATGTGAGGGGCACAGAAAAGTTTTTACACAGAGATGAAGCTGCGCTTCACAAACACAAAAGAGGAAAATGCAAACAAGAGCTCTAAACAGGCAAAACCAAGTGAAATAAGGGAAAAAGGAAAAAACTTAAAATACCACTTGGGAATTTTTTATGCTGAGATTAGGAGTATCACGTTCTGACATCTTCTCTACGATCGCTTGTAATTTACTAACTCTACTCACCAATAAAACAGCGACAGTTTCTATCAAATTGCCAATGCTATGTAGCAAAAGTTCTAGTCGCCCAGCTAATGCTGGATGCGCCTGTTTTAAAATTTATAATCATGTTGAACTGATACGGAAATGTGCAATTTTAAAATTTTCAAAAAAAGGATTTTACGGAAAACCTTAGTGATTTCTCTGTTTTAGCAGGGAAATACTCATTTATTCAGGGCGATAACTTCTACTATCTGGTTCAAGTAAATTCATTCACTCATATTTGGCTGGGTAGTTTTCGAAACAAGTGAAAAAGAATCCAAAAAATGATCAAAAAATCAAAATTTGACTTTTCTTAAAAATATGAACTTTTTTCTACTAAAACATGGGAATAGCCTCTTAGGCAGGAAAACTTTTTACGCCCTAAATTTCAGAATGAACCCTTAATATCAGTTTTAGCCAGTAAAATTTGAGAAAAAAGATGACACAAATTTCAAAAAATGGATTTTTCCGAAGTCCATATCGGCTTTCTTACAAACAAGTAGGGTGTAACAGATTACGCAGGCAAAGTCTAAGTACCATGTTAGCAAGATAAACTTTTAACCTCAGAATCGGCCGGTTAGTTTTTGGAAAAGTTTCCAAAAAAAGGAAACATTTCAAAAACTTGACATTTTCTAAAGGCATAGACTCTTGAGCAGAAGAGTAGCAGAACAGTTTTTTTAGCTCTCATTTAAACCCTTAATCTCTAATTTTGCAGGATAGTTTTTGAAAAAAGTCAAAAATTACAGATTTGTTCTTTTAATATTTTAGAAAAAATTCAAAACAATTAGATCAAAAATCCCCCTACTGAAACTTTCGAAGGCCGTAGAACGTTTCGTAAAATGAAAAAAGACTAGCGAAGAGCAACCGATTTTTCCATTGGTACCAACTTTTTGAATATCAGCACAGTAGTTTTTGAGAAAAACTGAAATTTCTGCAAAAAGTGCAAAAATTTTAGAAAGCGTGGCAAAAAAAAACAAAAATTCCATACATTTTCAAAATACCTGTTTTTTTCATACAGGACCTAACTCTAGCCAAAAATAAAGCAGCAACATAGGCTATTAAATTTCCTATGTTTAAATAAAGTTAAATATGATTAAATTGAAATATACCATTAGCGCCACCAAATGAGCACTTTTATTTGCGATTTAGGTTGGGAAAAAAAATCTTCGTAATAATACACTTCGCTTCGTTTGTTTAAAAATAGGGTTATTATAGTGTTTATGGCAGAACGCGGAAAATAAATCTGTTCGGCCTTCTGAAAAGAGCGTGAAACTTTTATGACTTTTTTAAAGACACCCCTCCTCGAGAAAATCTTATCCGTCGCTCTTAAGAGCAGAAAATTCGAAGGAAGATACATTAATATGCGAAAAATCTTGCGGTCAGAAAAATATCACATATATTTTACTTTGATCACAAACACATTTTTTCTATTGTGTAAATTAATTGAATTTAATTTAGTCCTAAACACAAAATAGCAATCAGATTTTCAAAACCTTTTTAACCAAATCAAGTAATCTAAGAAGTCCAACAAGATGTAAGTGAGCATCATCATTGCATAAAAATCTTTTGGTCCACAAATTTTGCGTCCAAAGAAAATGACTTAAGCGTCTTCAGAGAAACTTGATAACTTCCACAATTTCCTGCAGCTGTTCGGGGTTAAACGAAAACTGAGATTTGAAGAATTTGATACCACAGTCGAACACATTGAGACTCTGGAGCGGCGATGTCCAACTTAAAATCACTCTTTAAAAGACAGGTTTAAAGTGTGACCGGTAATTAAAAATTAGTTAAATTATAATTTCAAATTCCGTCAAAAAACGTCAAAACATCTGAACTTTAGCCAAAACTTTACACGAATTTCCTTGACAACCTTAACATGAATTGAGCCCTCATTTCTCAGGGATAGATCTAAAAAATTTTCGAGGAGGATTTTCAAAAAATGGTAGAAAATTTGTCGGCCTTTTTATAGCTGGCTCAAATTGATTTTCCGAGCTCTCTAAAAACACTTTTGAGCAAACTCTTGTGAGTAAAAACACTTTATAAGTCCCCCAAAATGGTTTCCCGAGCTCAAAAAACTTGATTTCCCAAAAACATCATAATGAACTTACTGAACAAAATCGGAGCCTCATTTAATGTTTAGTTAGAAATAAATTAATTTGGACATTGCTGGCCTTGAGGGAGCTTTGAGATAGAATGAGTAACTTCTGCTCCCATTTCTTCATCTTCACAACTGCTACGTGTGTGAACACAGATTTGCTCATACGCATCACTAGTTCATTCATTTCCTCAAAGGTCACATCTGAACACAAAACAATGATAATCACACAACTGATGAGTTTTGTTTGTTTTTTTTTATGCCTAACTTCAATTTATTATTTTTTCTTATTTCGCGCAAATCTGATCTTTCACGAATTTTGTCAAAAATTGAAAAACCACTGGATAATATCTGACCATACTGTTCTGGACACTCTAAAAAGTATTATTTTCTTTCGTTCATTTCAGAACGAACTTGACACTGTAAGTTAGCGAGCAGTTTTCTTTTAGACGAGTAGCTATTACTTATTTACAGGAGTAGCTTATTTGAGTTGCTTATTTGCCGCATTTCGCTTACCTCTACAATTCGTCTCTCGCCAACTTTGACTGTCCTGCAGACGCATCAGGACACAACCAGTTGGCAAAAGAGAGTCCGATATCTGTGTGAGTAGTTGCTGTCCCAATTTCATCGCATCAATCTCATCACTCTCATCTGATTGGCCGACAGAGAACAGCCAATCAGAATCAAGGACGACAGCATCTGCTTTCATTCTAAATATAATCACTCTGAAATCCCAGTACTTTTTTTTTTATCGACGAGCGTGTATTCGTCAAAAAATTGGTTGGTACAAAAGGCAATCTCCTCAAAGCACTCCAAAACTTCCAATTTCAACATGGCCGATTGAAAACGGATAGCCAAAATTTACTTAGTGATCACCTGATTAATGGAGATTAATGGTGTTCTGGTATCATTACAATTATATGAAAAAGAGACAAAACAATTTAGGATTAGCACTTTTTGATATAAATAACCCAATTTGAGAAAACTGGACCAATAAGTAAAATTTTATTTCGCTGGGAAATCTGAAAACTAAATTCCATTTTCGAAACTAGAATTCCGTCACGTTTTTCGTGACCTTTATACTTTCGCTGTTCGATTGTGGAGTTTGTCTTTTGGAAATAATTTTTTTAAAAAGAAAATTGAACATTTTATTTTTATTAACCTCTGGCCCCTCTTCCGCCATATTACATTTGACCTTTTTTTCTGTGAGGAGAGAGATGCCACCTATTTCGCGTATCCGTTCCCGCTTTCAGGAGGTGGATGACACCGTGACCCCTCTAAATGTGACCGAAGCGGGATTCGAACCCTCGAACTTTATATTACAGGCCGTGCGCCTTACACACTCAGCCAGGCCTGCTCAAGGCAATTGACAAACATCAGTTCAGAAAGTGTGTCTATGCAAATAGATAGTATAGTAAAAACTACAAAATCTGTAAGAAAACCCAAATAGAGACAGTTGGAAAAATGTCAGTGAACGCATGTAAACAGAAAAAAAAATTGATCTATTTTCTGAAAAATAGGTCAAATTTTGATTTTCAATGATAAAACTATATGCATCTATAGCTCTTCGAATTTCAAGGACAATTTACTGCTGACAAAATTAGCCCAATTTTAAAAAAAATGAATTAATGAGAAATTTTAATTCCACAGGGAATTCAAAAAGCTAAGTTATTTTGAATCTAGAAGTCATTCATGTTTTTCGTAACCTTTACACTTTTGCTGTTCGATGATGAAGTTTGCTTTCCTTTCAAATAATATGTATTGGATTTTTAAAAAAAAATTAGTCAAACCAGAAAAAGTTTCAGCGTAAACCATTTTTAAAATTTTCCCTAATAAAACGAAAAAAAAATTATCACGATCTATAAAAGTAACTTCACTATGTTCATCGACACTTAAAAGCGTGAAATCGACCCAAAAATGCATTTCTAAGGACGGTGTTTAAAAACAATTTGGAAAAAAAAGAATTAGAAGGGGGTAAAAACAATTCAGAACAAGGATAGCCGGGAACTGTGCAAGTATCACAGAATGTTGCGACCGTAGTCTTGAAAAAAAAAAAAAAAAAAACATTTTTCAAATTTAGTGTCGTTTTTGTCTTCATGGTGTGATTAAAAAATCTGAACTAGAAATTAAGACTTAGGCAAATTTGACAGTCTTGGTAAAATAGCCCAATTGAAAAACAGTTTTTGTAAAAAAAAAAGACTAGAAAAACGAAAAAAGATTTGTTAAGAAAATCAAAAAACTTTCAAAAAGATTTTCAATATTTTTTGCAGAAAGTTTTGGAATTTTGAAGTTTTTGATTCCCAAAATGGCACTAAAAAGCTTCAAAACTTACTTTACTCAAGTAAACTAAATTTTCACGGCTCAAACTAAGCATAAATTAGCTATTAAAAGCCTGCACGCTCACCTTATCAGCATGAAGTTAGACCAAAAATCAGAAATTTCGAACTGATTTTTCTCGACACCGAGAAACTTTTTTTTCAAAATTCACGACTGAAAGGGCTTCAATATGATGTATCACTCAACCCAAGAAAATAAACTAAAACACACCCGAACACAAAGTTTCTCCACATTTTCAAAAGGTCGGATCAAAAAGTAAAAAGAGGATTTCTTGTATTGATCAAACTTCACAACACAAAATTCTACTTTCGTGAAAATTAGGGTTTCGAACTGATATTTTTATTTATTTTATATGCTGCTTCTCTCGAGACCAAAACTAAACCTGACAATGACTTGAAAGAACATCAAAACACGTTCCACATTCTAGAAGAGTTAATATCAAGCAAAAAAGCCTACCTACTACTAAATTGAAAAATATCAAACAAACTATCAAAGCAAAAGTTTCAAGCTTTAATTGAATGATTTTAGATATCGACACAAAGGCGAAGCGGAGCTTCGCATCACTTGCGATACAACACAAACGTGAACAACAAATCGAAAACAAAACGAAAAAAGTAAGTCTCGGTAAAGTTTCATCAAAGGCAAAGATGCAAGACCTTTGAATACTAAATTAGCAACAGAAGAAAACAAACCCGACAACGTTTGAGCAGACACAAGCTGAGCCAAAAAATATTTTAAACTTTTCTTAAATTTGCAAGTCACAACTTAAACAACATTAAACAACACTTACCCTTATAACTTGCTTACAGAACAAGAGAAATCCGAGAGGAGACCACAACACCGACAATCTTTGAGCAGACACAAGTTGAGCCGAAAAAAAAATTCCCACCTGAAGCAACATTAGACAACACTTGCACTTGTAACTTCAATGAAATTTGGTCAGAACAAAAAATTCCGCGATATAAAAACTAAGCCGATATTATTTGAGCATAACTAAACTGAGCCAAAAAGGATAACCAAATTTTCAAGTCTCCCCTGAAACTACATTGAACAACAATTGTATTTGCAACTACAATGAAAGTTGCTTACAGCGCCAGCATATTTCGCGATGAGGCAACAAAGCCAAAAAAAACCTGAGCAGATAAACGAAAGCCAGACAATTCAAATTTAACTGGAAAAAACTTTGTCATAGAAAAAAATTTGAAAAGAAATGGTTATTACAAAAATTAGAGCGATAAAATTGTTTGAAATTTTAACCGCTATGCTTCAACCGACTTGTTTTATTTTTTTTCCGCTTAACCGATGCAAAATATCTTCACTAAACTGACATTATGTTTTCGACCGAGATCATTTATACCGAATAGAATTTCTATAGAATACCGAATAGAATTTCTATAGAATACCGAATAGAAGCGTAAACAACTTTTTTAAAATACACTGGTCAGGGTTAGCAATTATACAAAACTACAGGAGTTAATCAATGACACTTGAAACTACAAATAAAACTGCTTGCAGCGCAAAAAAATCCGTGGAGATGCAACTAAGCCCACAAATCAAAGTCGACAAACAACAGTCAGACTATTCAATGTTTCCCAGAAAAAAGTTCAATTTCATAACACGCAAAAACAACAAGGTCAGGCCCGGGACTCGAACCCCAGACCATAGGAAGCAAAGGCAAGTGTATTACCTCCAAATTAAGTGGCAAGAAAATTGGAAGCTGCTAAAGTTCGATAATAAAGCAAGATTACACTGTAAAAGTTGTTTATGGGAAAAAAAGGTCTTCTTCCCGATAAAAGACACTTGCTTTCAAAAGTGTAATTCGGAAAAAAATTTCAAAAAACCCAACACTTCTTCAATCAAATATTGTTTTAAGATAGTAAATTTGTCTCGAAAGAAAATGGCAGACTAAAAATCTCGGCAGTATTCAGAAGATAACAGAAAAGAAAAGTATTAACAAAAAAGCGTACGGAAAAAAAAAACAAAACACTGTCATTCAAAAAATCAATGAAACAAAACCGTTATCACACTCGTATCCTCATTTAAATTTTCAGATATTAAACATCTACAAAGCTTTTACATGAGAACCCATGTTCAAAAAATTGATCTTTGCAGAAAACGTTGTGATATTTTCCGGTATTTTTTAACTTAAGAAAAGGATACTTGTGCAAGTTGTAGTTTTATTTTTCAAACAAAGTTCGACTCTTTAACAAGCAAATCTAGACGGACTACTTTGATACCATCTAAAAATATCAATGTCCTGAGCCCAAAAGTTACTCAGAACGGCTCAACATTCTATTTAAACTAAATTGAGGTAAGCAACTTAGTCGAATTCATGCTACTAGACACAAATTACTTGGGTTTGTACTTGGGTCAGATGGCAAGATTTATTTTTACCATTTTAAAACAAAAACTACTTCAAAGACTCAAGAGAAAAACACTCCCTCAACCTCTAGATCAAAATTGAAAACTTACTTGTTTTGCGACACTTTCTGAGAGTTCAAAACGGGACAGTCGCTAACATGGGCCAAACAATCATCGCTCATTCTGCCATCAACAAAGTGCTCTTTTACGAATCCAATTAACTCCTTGTCCTTCTCAAAACATCTCGATTCAATACTGGTTGATAGAATCTGATCAAAAAACGCAACCAGAGCAAAAAACCGAATACCAAAAACATTAACAGAAAACTTGTGATTTGTCATCGCTATTTTCACATCTATATTGCAAATTACCAGGGCAACTAAAAATTCAAAGTCAGACAATTCGCAAGATTTGAACGCTGTTAACTTATCGCTATCATCTTCAAAATTCAGAGAGCAGATGAAATTGAAGGGATTCTTGTTGCTTATCAACTGTTTTGAATACTGATTGGTTTCTTCTTCGGTTTGTTTTGAATACTTGATTATACTCAGTGAATCGTCAGTCTTTTCTGTTGAGAATTCAGTTAGAATTTTGACTTCTGATCCGATCACTGTTCCCATTGAGAGGAAGGGAGTCTTGAAGGACGCCGGCAATCCATCTGGCGCAAACGCCATTACACTGCTGCTAAGTTCGCCCTGAAACAAACCAAATTTTAACTTGAGAATGTAAACAAACTAAAAGACTCAGGAGAATCTGAGCTGCGCTGACTTTAAAAAAAATCAGAGAGCACAAATTTGAAAGCCAGAACTGTGCTGACACGGTGCTAAGTATAAGATGGATGCAGGCTTTCCACCAAAGCCAGGGCAAATCAGAACCGCGATAAAAATCAGAAATAGTTACAATTATGAAAGATTTTGAAACCAAAAAGTATTCTACAAGCTGCTGTATTTTATAAAAAGTGAACATAATTTAGATTGAAAAAACTTAGGGTTAGGACAATCGAAAAAATATTCTTTCATATTCAATGTTCAAGCCGAAAAAACTATGTTTTCTGACTTTTCTCTGCCGTTTCAGATCAGCAAGTCACCACTATGAAATTAGTATAACCAATGGTCTCAGAAAGTTCCAATGAAAGTTTGATGGGTAAAGCCCGAGTCGCACCAATAAGCAAATCACGATACCTAACTTGGAGCTGCAAGCAGCTGTCTACGGCGCGCAAATGGCTCATTTCATCGTTGATGAATCAGAAAACAAAATATGCAATCAACATTTTTGGTCAGACAGCACTACTTTTCTGTAATGGGTGAGAACGACTCAAGTTCGACACAAAATCTTCTTTGCAAACCGATTAGCTAAGATTTTGTATATCTGCAACTCTCACGATTAAAATACGTTCCTACAAAACAGAATCCCGCCGATGACGGCACTCGGGGTTATACAGTTGAACAAATGACGACTCAGTCTCGCTGGTTGCAGAGACCACAATTTAATTGAAAGGACCAATCTCATTTGCGGCAACAAGATCAGTTCAGATGATGTCCGCTAATAATTCTACTGTTCAAGTCTGTCACACGCTCAGACTGCTCAGCTTTAGCAAATGGAACAGGCTCAATCGCTCAGTTGCTTTCTGCTACTTGGCCGTCGACAAACTTAGGAAGCGAAAATCTCATCTAAAATTGTCTCATCATACGAAAAGTTACACTAACTTGATTAAATTCTGTCAAAAATCTGACTTCTCGATAGAAGACGCTGATTAAAAGAAGAATAGTCCAGTTTCTCCATCAAGTATACTCCGAACTTTGACGCTTGTCCAAAGCACCATTTTTGGTTACTTCTAGATATCCCATCATTCTGCATGGATCAAATCACGTCAAAAATTGCTCGGGAAAAACACCCACATAGTGAAAAGTCATTCTGGAAATGAACAAACGCGTAGAAATCTCATGGATCCTTCGCTGTCGTCTTACTGCAAGGCAGACTATACGAAACTGCCTATCTTGTCGTAATATGTTGCAGAAAGTTTCAGCACCACTCATGACAGACCTGCCAAAAGATCGATTACTGACGGCAAATCATTATCTGTTTTACACTACTTGACTGGACTTCATAGAACCTTTCACGATCTAAGACAACAGCAATGGATATTCGAGATATAAACTTCTCTTCGCCTGTTTGGTTGTACGCGCCGTACACTTAGTAGTATCACCTGATTTGTCTACTGACAGCAAAATTCATTGCTTCAGACGTTTCGTTTGTCGGACAACGGATCTTCTTCTGTCAGTGCCAACAAAATTCTGGAGAGCTCAGTACGCGACTTAGCGCAAAGTTCTGATTTCAAAGACACACTATCGCTCATGGACATAGATAGAGAATGGTTTTTCAAACCGCCAGCTGCGCCTTATTTTGGTGGCAGCTGGGAGCGCCTGGTTCAAATTTTCAAATAGTCTCTCTTTAAAGTTATCGGTTCTCAAACACTGCAAACTTCCAGAAATACAAACTCGGACCAAGTGGAACACGGCTTTCAACAACTTGGCAGTCGACGATCTTGTCTGGGTGATAGAAAATTAGACACCAAGGGGTCTTTGGCCTCTCGTTTAGGTTCTCGAGTTTCACTCAGCCAGCGACGAAACAGTCAGATCGGTGACACTCCAGACTCCTCGTGGTAAAAAATAAGCACGGCAAGTAATTAACTTGATTTTAATTTATTTCAAAGACTTTTACGTTCGAAAACTAGATTTGAAAAAGTTTCTATTGATGGACATTTACGCGGTTTACCCAACTTTTGTCAACGTGACTTCCATCCAAACACAACGAACAAAAGTGAGCACTGGAGCACAGATGTCAACCATACCTTTCGTTACAATTTTCAGGTAAGTTATTGCTCAGAAATTAACGTCATCAGAATTAGGAAATTACTAAAATGTCATGTTTTCAAACAAGTTTTACACATTCAGAACTAACTCTTATTCTTTCCTTTATTTTCCGGTGACCTCTACATAGAGAATTAGACGACATGAGAAAGAAAGAACAAAAGAGTTTGAAAAATAGTATAATGAATAACGAAGAAAGAAGGATAGAAGACGAAATAAAATCAGCTATGATAAATTATTAAAACTAATGTAAACATGCAAATAGATAAGTTAAACCAAAAAAGTTACAAAAAAGATGGGAAGAGTCACTCCTGCCTAATTTTTCTAGCTATTTTTTTTAACTTACTTAAGCTATTATCACTTAATTTGGTAGCTTAATTAAAAAAGATCATGTCACTTAAATTTTTTTTTTATTTTTTCGTTTTTTTTTTGCCAAAACTTTTTGCATTGAAGAATTGTGGTCAGAACATACTGTACTACTTACACAGCCTCATACTAGTCTTGTTTCAATTTGAATTAATTTGAAAAGAAAAACGAACCTTAATGCTATCTAATCCTCCATAATTGACCAATGGATTCAACATGACTAACAGCACTCTGCTGTACTGTTTGATATGAGAGCAGACCAACTCCATTCTGCCTTTTGAGGTCAAATAAAGCCAAATGTTCTCACTTTCGCCAAACTGAGGACAGACGAACACTGCGTAGGAAGGCTTCTTCACATTTTGGTTATTGACCACATAGCATCTGTACCTGATTTGGATTTGGGCAAACGGTAATTGAGTCTAATTCAATTAAAAATAAGAAACATTTAAATCGAAGTTCAAAGGAAAATACTATAGTGCTGTAACAATATTTCGGACAATTTGACGCAGAATACTGAAGCCTTCAGTCTTTTAATTCAGGCATTATAATTTTGGAGGTCCAATAGGTTTGATTTTGTCGACGTACTCAATGTACTTCTATTTTTAAGATATCCTAACGATACCTTTCTAGACCGATAACGTGTGAATTTATTTTGAACTTCTCGATTTCTTTTTACAATATTCACTTATCTGCTTACTTACTTCAGGTGCAAATGAAAAAAAATCTTCTTTTTTTTCACAATTTGCTTGATCCACCATTTTCGCTCCAGACACTCACGATGAATGGCCAGGATTTATATCAAAAAGGAGTGAGGTTTCATTGCCTTATTTAGATCACATCAAAGAAAAGTCACAAATTGTAAGTTATGGAAGTTAATTTGTGACAGTCGAAATTCATATTCCAAAAAATATACATTTCCAAAAATTATCTTCTATGGTTTTTGGCTTGGGATTTAAATCATTACTCAATTTCAATATCTACTCCCAATTTTCTTCAAACCGTTTTTAAAATTTGCTTTAAATTTGGAGCTTAATTTCAATTCACACCACTGCTTCAGACAAAAATGAAGTTCACTTTTTTCTGCACAAACTAACCTGATCGGAACACTCTAGTGCAACTTGCACAGCAACCGACCAATCTTGATTTATTTTTAAACGGCCAGATTAAAATTGTATTTATAATGATAATGTATACATGAAGACTCAATTCCCTAGCCCCACCTAATTGACCCTTCTGAACTCATCATGTCTGTGAAAACAGATCCTGAACTCTCGCCTTTCAGAGATGTGACTTTGCGAGATAAGAAGTAAAGCTTCTGGAACGATTCAATTTCAACCAGAAACTGGTCGGCAGTTTTGCATTTAAACGCACTTCCAGAACCGAAATCAGTTTCAAAGACTGTTGGCAATTTAAGCCCCGCTTTCATCTTGAACAAAACGAGACAAAAAGTTGGCATGTCAAACGACTTCTCAAGTTTGACATGATGCATTCTCACAATATACGAAAACTCTGATTTTTTCAAAAAGTAGCACAAAACTCTTCGCAACACAATAGGCTGGGCTAAAGTCACACACACAAATCTACCAGAAGCCATTAGTACTCTTTCAGTTTCGGAAAACAACTGGAAACTTGATATATCTGATTCGCTTTCACAAAAAGAATCGAAATTGGTTTTGGTCAAATCAGCAGAATGTTCCGATCCTGCAGAAAACAAGGCATCAACTGTACCCTTATCCAGAACAACGTTAAAAGTATCCTTATCGTAAGCTAAATTTGTCGCATCCATCGCTTCAAAATGAAGCCCAGGTCGATTTTTCGCATTTCGCTTTTTCATCTGTTTGATCACAGTGGCGTTGAGATCAATGTTACACATGTTTCGAAAAGCGGAGTCGTACAACTGCTCAGCAAGAGTTGAGTTTCCACACCCGATTTGAAGTATTTTGTCTTTTGGCTTCATATACTAATTAGATTCAGTTTCAATTTAATTTAAGACTCCCTCGTCCGTTATGAGTAAAACAACATTTTTCCACCAATTATATTTTTCTGAGATCCCCTAAAAAAATTACACCAATTTGCACGTTTTTAGTTTTGATCCCAAATATCTTGACAAAAACACAGCCAACAGGCCGTTGGAAAAAAGTCAATGAACACAAGACAGAAAAAAACTGACTTTCGAAATTCAAATAAAAAAATAGATGTCCTTAAAGCTCTGTGAACTTCTAGAACAATTTATCATTGGTGCTTTTTTGATAAAATTAACTCATTTTGAGAAAACTGAATCAATAAGTAAAGTTTTCTTCTGCTGGGAAACCTGAAAATCAAATGCCAGTTTCGAAACTAGAAGTCGATCACGTAATTTTTTTCAACTTTACACTCTCGCTGTTCGATAGTGGCGCTTTTCTTCTTTTAACAAAAGAAATGAACTGAAATTTTAAAAAAAATCAAAATCAAACCGCGAAAACGCAAATTAGAGCCTGAACAAACTTTAAGACTTTTCCTTGAAAAAACAAAAAAAATAATTGTGACCTTTAAAAGAGTCTGAACTACGTAAATCATCAAAATATTGATTCTCCAGTTGAAAAAACTTTCCGAAGAATATTTGCAGCATATGCAAAAAAAAAACGTTACCGTAGTTGGCCCGAGGAGTCAGAAATTAAGTGGAATTGTTTTTTTTTTCCTTTTCGAGGAGTTCGCAAATGCTGTCGTATGTGCCATACCACTCAAAGGGAACTTCTTGTCTCTTCTTGAAGAAGTTGTCCCAATAATCTCCGGCCGAGAACTGAGTGGAGTCTTTAGGCAGCAAAACACTCATCTATCAATCACCTGAAAAACGGATACATAACCAGAAGACAGTTGGAAACGTGCCAATGAACACAAAAAAAGCGCAAACGACGACGAAAGATCTTTTTTTTTTAAGCTATGCGTGACTGAGGAGATTATGTGAGCTCAAGTCTTCAAATATCGTTTAAAGGAGCTTCTCAAATAGCTATTTAGTTGACTAAACCCTTGAAAACACCTTCGTTAATGCTTTCAAAGTTTTGAAATTTCTTTTTCCCATACACGCCCCCCGTTAACATGAATTCGGATCGACCCACGAAACAAAACGCTTTAAATGATACATGATTTTTCAAATTATGGAAAAAATTGAAAAAAATGTCGTAGCAGGAAGAGCGCATTCTATGCTACTTCTTCAGCGGTAAACTCCTATAAATGGCCCTACGTCAAGCAAAATTGGCCATAATTTAGATAATTTATGGGAAAAATGAAAAGTTTAAATCAGTGATAACTAGCCTAAAGGATTTGCAGGTCGAGATCAACAAAAGGATAAGAACGTAAGTTCACAATTTAAGCAATGCCCTTTTTCAGTGACATTTGTTTAGACCATTCGAACAATCGTATAACTGAACTATTTACAAGTCGGTGAGCACTGAAATTCAGTTGGTATGTCACAATAAATATCTAACTTCAATTTAGTTCCAGTCATAATTTCAATAACTAGGTCAAGTTTAAGCACTGCTACAGATATGAAGTAGTACGAATATTTCTAACATTATCGCTGAATTTTTAGCTTAATTTATAATTTCTTTTCCTAAATTTTTAGACTACAAAACAGATAACCGAAACCTTTACGGTAGGAAATCCAACTACGCAAAAAAGTTATGTAACAGCGCAAACGTTTTTAAATTTAAACACTTCACAAAGCAACAACAGCAACCAATGTACCATTCTGGCTTCGATTACGCAGTTGGATGTGGGGGAGAAAATAGGACAGACGAGGACGCAATTATAGAATTCAACTACTCCCAGTGTATTATCTCGAGGGTGGGGGAGGTGACTTTGGGAGTGTTCGGAGTAGTCGGCTGCATAATTCACTCGTATATCATTTTCTGCTACAACTTCAGGCACTTCTACTATTTCCATCTTAAGTAGAATTCAAGGACCTCTTTAACTATAACCCCCCTCGGGTACCTAGTAACGAATATCCACCCCCCCCCCCCGCCTATAAAGCAATAAATCAACAGTTAAGCATATCAGAAATTTATACCTAGTAACGAAAATTTCCTCCGTTTTTCAAAAAGGGGGATATAGTTACAGACATCCGAATTCAAATCCAAAAAACTTCCTCGCCATTTACATGGTCGGAACAAGAAGAGTAACCAGTTGCTGTGCAATTAGCACAGAATCTTACAACCACAGTCATTTTTCGAACCATTCTGTCCTTCCGAGTTTTTCTCTAGCATTTAGCAGTTACTGTCAGCCTAAGGCAGTCATATAAAATTTCATTAGAACTTTAGACAACCTTAGAGTTCCACAATTCTTCGCTCTAAATCGTCCAGAAAATAGAAATTTTCATTCACTTTTAGGAAATTGAGCAACCTTTTTGGAATATTTTATTCCAGCTTAATTCAAGTCTGAAGAAGTTTTAATGAGATATATTGTTTGGCCCATTTGAGGTTTTTTATGATACTTGATTTAATGTAAGTTATTCTGAAAGACCCGAACTTAAAAAAGTTTCTAACCATCGGTAGTCGGAACACTTAAAAAGTCATAAATAACCCGAAATTTCACTGAGTAAAATGATTCAAAGTTTTTTTCCCATATTTTCGAGCAATCAGTTTCACAAAAATATATCCTCATATTCTTTTTTAAAAACTTTGAAGACATCGAAATCCGTGCGCTCGATTGTACATGGTGTTTTAGCCCAACTATAATCAGATACCATTTTACGTTTTTTCTCTAACAATAGCATTGCCTGCAGACCATCGGAACAACAGCGAGCGCCAGTGGAAACTCTGATAATCAGTCTGAGCTGTTACGATCTGTTCTACTGTGCGGGACTGGTGGTCTTGGCAGTGCTGAGTCGCATTCCCAGTTATGTCCCAGACATCGCCTGTCCACTCCAAGCAATCGTGCTATCCTTCTATCGCAACTCTCTTTTTCTAGTTGTTCTATTACTCGCATGCAACAGGTGAGCGTCTGCGAACATCAGAAACTAACAAGGATAGCCGGTTGCTGTGCAAGAAGCATAGAATGTTCCGACCACATTCATAAAAAATCCAAAAAAAGTTTTACTTCAATTTTTTTTTATATTTATAGGGTAGTGTGATTAGAAAATTATACAAATACGTACACAATTAGCAAATTAGGCGAAGTTGACAACAGTTATCTTCAAAAAATGAAAAAGAAACGAAACTAATTTTTTGTTTCCACAAAAAAGTTTTAATTTTTTTAAGAAACTTTTATTGTCAAGGAAGCGCTAAAAAAAGCTTCCAGAACTAATTTTTTAAGTAAAATCAAGTATTTGCTAGTTTATTTGACCAATTTCCAGCAATTTTTATATAACGAATGTTACTCGATCGCATTACTCGCAATATACAAGATATATAAGAAGATATCACACATGAAAACACTTTGAAAAGATACAACAAACTTTCTGCTACGAAACTGCGATGCGTATCTGCAAATCAGTAATAACAAACGTCCTAGGCCACGAAACAGTATTAAATTTCATAAAGCCGGCCATAAAAACGCAACAATTGCATACGCGTTTTCAAATAACCGGCGCAAAAACTGCTCCAAAAAATTGACCAACATTAACTTTTTATACCTAGAAAAATATGAGTTAATTCCTTTTTCATCAACAGGTATTATGCTGTGTGTCGTCCCCAATATTACGGCCGCTATTTTTCCAAGCTGAAAATCAAGATTTACGCCATTTCATCATTCGCGGTATCTTTCGTCATAGCTCTCATAAATCAAACGAATGCATGCTTTTTACACGAAGAAAGCGATGATTATTCAACCTACTACCACTGTGCATCTGCATTTTGCTACGTAATATTCTACCTGCCTATGATAATCCTCACTACCATGCTTTACGTGAAAATCTACAAGAAGCAGAAGGAGATAATAAACACTGAGGAGTTCTACAACGAATATTGTGCTGGAGCGTTGACCGAGGATATCGAGTCTGAAAGGCGAATACTCGTTTAGAAGTCTCTTTCAAAAAATCCTAATGCGTTCAGAAAATCCCTTTTTAGAATTTTGCCAAGACCCAAATTATTAAAAAAGAAATAAGATCCAGAAACGGAATTGAAAAAAAAACTGAGGCGCTTCATGCTTTCAACCTTTTATTCCGCCCCGTATTTTTATTTGAAAACTTTCCAAGGTGAACTAAAATTCACAAAACTGTTCCTGAATTTGCGAGAAAAAAATTGGCATTAGACGCTGGGCACAATTTTTTTCATACTCTCCAAAACGTCTGTCTTATATCACTCTTCACAAAGAAGAGCTTTTAACTTTCCTTTTCTAAACGACTACCTGTGAACAAAGACGTTTTTTGGGAGCCATCACCATCTCGACAATAATTACTGTCTCAATTTTAATCGGCGATTTTGTGATCAACTTTTTAGTATCACTTTTCTCCATTGACCCAATGCTTTTCAACAGTGATGGCAAATCAGTTGACAATATATCATTCATTCTCAGTGCTGTTATCGCTTCGCTTATATCCATGCTGTTCGTGGTCAACCCGTGCATTTTTATGGCTACTAATGACCAGTTCAAGATCAAACTGACCAGACCAATTAGAGAACTGAAAAAGCGAATGCGCGCAGAATCCCAATTGAAGATAGTCGAACTCAACACTGAAACTCAAGCATTGAGTGAAATCAACTGAATTTCGAAAAGCTATTTTTAATATTTACATGTCTACAAAATTAATACTACGTCTAAAATATGTGCATAAAGAACTGACAAACAAGTTTGCAGTATGCAAAGCGACCATACAAAATACTTTCAAAAGACTTCTCGTTGGCGTTTTTGAAAAGGAAGGGAAGACAATGATTTAGATTATCTTAATTAGTAGATATAACGAGTATTATTAGAAACAAGACTGCTCGTATTAGGGCGAAGCCCTGAATGTTCCGACTGCCTTTTAAGTTCTATTGAGCAGTATTAACATGAAACAAATTAAATAAATAAAATCCTTTTTTTTTTTTAGAAAAAATGAGATTTTTGTAATAATCATCTCCCACACGCCATATAAAGTACAAAAGGAGAAATTTCGCTCCTTGTAACAAAACAATTATGGCAAATAAGCTTCTTTCAACCAATTTGGAACGATTTCTAAGACGGATTAACTCTCCCTTACGCGTTAATAGCGCAAAATATATCGCGCGTTAATTGTCACAAATTGGCTAAATGGCAATCTTTAAACCCCCATAACTCTACAAAAAAAGATCACAGGTGAAATATCTTTTCAAATTTGAGCTCAAGACAACAATATCTTTTGAATGATATAAAAAAATTCCGCAATAAAAGGCTATTTAAAAAGTCGAAATTTGTCTGAAGAAAAAAAACCACCCCGAGCACAAATATTCCGTTACTTTCGTTACGAAAGTCGGAAAAAATAGTAGATACAAGACTGCTCGTATATCAGGGCAAATACGACCGATTAGCTAGCCTCAATTCAATTTGGAACGATTTTGCTGTGCGGGATAATTTGCCAGGCATAAGTAATTCGCGTTACGCTCTCAGCAATATGAATAAATTCTTCAAAGCGCGGCGATTTAGTCCAAAACATTGCCAATTGGCAACTTTCAAACCTCCAGAACTCGATAAAAAATAATCGGAGTAAAACATCTTGTTAAATTTGAATTCAGGAAGTCGATATCTTCAATGGGGTATAAAAATTTCTGTTGAAAACTATTATTTCGATCGGCGAAAATAACTGAATAAAAAAACACACCGAGCATAAATATTCCGTTTTTTTTTTCGAAAGTCGAAAAAGTTCTATGTTATTAGAAGAGAAATGAAAAGAAGTCGGCTGCCTTTTCCTCCTCCTGCTCAGCAAGTGATTCAACTGATTTTGTTAAACTAGTAGAAAAAAGTCTATACTCCAGTTTGATAACGCTTGCTAATCGCAAGCGTAATCAATTCAAATTAAAGAAATCGAAAAAGAATCCACTTGAACCTAAAAAAAATTACAGACGGCTAATATGCTAGTAAAATGCCGAATTAACTAAACATAAAATGAGAATCCTTATTTGCAACTTAGTTTGGAGGAAAACCACGTGGAGTTCCAAAATGACAGTACGTTTTCTAGCTCGCTTGTTTAAATAATCTTAACAGCCGACGAAAGAAAAACAGTTGGAAAATTGTCCTTGAGGAAGTTAAGCTACTACTAAATATATCTAATTCATATTTAATTTTTCACTTTCCAATTTGGCTTCAAAGGCAATTGTAGTCATCAGCAATCGAAAAGTCATTGATCTTTACTGTAGCTCAGGAGCAATTTCTCAATGAGGTATAGTTTGCCAACCCCGGAAAAAAATGCGGGCCATATATTATTTGCTTTTGCAAAGAAAACTGTTGTTTCTAAGATGTACAACAGCAACTTATTGAGCCGTTTCGCAGGCTTTAAAAACAAATCAAATGAAATGTAGAAGAAAAATCGATGCTGCGCTCTTAAAGCTAAAGCTCTTTGAATTTCAAGAACAATTATATCATGACACTTTTTCGATAAAATTAACATTATTTGAGAAAAATGGATCAGCATGCAAATTTTTATTCCGCTGGGAAACTTGCAAATTAAATTCGACTTTCGAAACTAGAAGTAGATCACGTTTTTAATGATTTTTACACTTTGCTGTTCCATAGTGAAGTTTGCCTTCCCTTTATTAAGGAAATGAAATGAACTAAAGAAGAAACGTAAGCTAAAGAAAAAATCACCGAGACCTATATTAGAGTATTTACCATATTCATGAATCGTATAAAACTATTAACTTTGAGCACAGGGCAACATACGTAATAAATTGCCCTCAATCTAAAGCTAACTGATGAGAATATTGTGAGCCAGTTTTTTTAACGTCTTTGAATTTGGGAATAAGTACATTTTTGATTTGATTGGGCCTTTTAAGGCAAAATTTTGGGCATAATATTTGAATATGCCTCGCAATATTAAAAAAAAAATTGAAGATATTTATTTAAATTAAACAAACTTCAATTTGAAAAAAGCTAAAAAAAACGTGAACTAAGCTACATACTCAAACACAGAGGCGAAGCGGAGCTTTGCACCACTTGCAATACAATACAAACATAAAAAAGCCGAAAAAAATGAAAATTTTTGAAAAAAAAACAAGATCATGTCTCAATAGAAATTCATTCTAGGCAAACATGCCAGACACTTGAATTTTAAAACAGCAACAACAAAATGAGATTTACAAAAAAGAAACAAAGCCGACAATTTTTTAGAAGACAAGTTCAGCGAAAAAAAAATTGATTTTATTTTAAAAAAAATTTAAAATCCCACCTTAAACAACAATGGACAACACTTGCACTTGAAACTACAACCAAAATAACTTACAGTACAAAAAAATAAAGATGTGGCAACTAACCATTTAAACCGAAAAAAAAACGATTTTTTGATTCTTTTAAAAAAAATTGAAGTCCCCCCCAGAAATTAAAATGAACAACACTTGCAACTAAAATGACAATTGTCTACAGCACAAACAAATTCCGTTGTGGGAATTTAGCCAACAAAACTTGAGCGAACAAACGGAAAACCAACAACTCATTTTTCTCGGATTTTTTTTTCAATTTCCTTGCTACTGAAAGAAAAACAAGTTCCGGTCACGACTCGAACTCCAGACCTTAGGGTACAAAGGCAACTCATTTACCTACAGGCTGAGGGGGAAGCAATCTGGAATGCTAATAGAAGATAAGAGAGATGAGAATAAATCGCCTGCCTTTTCCTCCTCCTCAGCCCCAAGTGATTCAACTGATTTTGTTTAACTAGTTGTTAACTAGAAAAAAATCTGTATTCCAATTTGATAGCGCTTGCTAATTGAAGAAATTGCGGAAAAAATCGGTCTTGAAACTTGTAAACATAAACTACAGAAGGCTAATAAAACGAGTTTTTGAGGATACATAGTTGCTTCTCGAAGAAAAATAGTTTATCAGCAATTATTTGCCCTGAAAGCAATATAACTTCGGTATAACTATCTATTTACCAGTAAACCACTCTCTGTACAATTTGAAAAATTGTTATTTAAAGAAACAGACAGACAGAGAAAAGGAGAGAGAGAGCCAATAGGAAACTACTTCAAAATACGCAGAACCTAAATTTCATCGAACCATATTCAAAAACGTATTCAATACCAAGAAAGCAAAAATATTTGCGTCAATTGGAATTCTCTGATTGAGAAGCGAAGACAAGCAAGCCGCTTAAACAGTAGAAATGGTAGTTGGCACCCAATTCTATAAAATGAATCAGTGAGTGAAAAAAGAATCAGTGTAAATTTGGTTCAGAAGTGTCGCCTTCAACTGGTGGACCCAACTACCTATTATTCTGCCGTAAGCCACACTAATATACCCTCCCTCCACATACAGTGGTGGGCAAAGAGCACGCTTTTTTGAAGTTTTTAGTTTCGAAAAATCTTAGTCGGCTGGGTCTCTTAGTCTATTAATTTTATTCCTACTCCCTCGTGCCGGCATTAACCCTAACCCTGATACCTACACATGATCATTTTGCAAACAAAGAATTTTACGGACCCAAGTCAGTGTCTGGTGCCACGTATGTGGCTTGAGCCATTTTAAATGTAGGGGTCTTATAAAGCTTAAAGAGCACAAGAAATTTTTATTGCCCCTTTTTTTCGAAATGTTTTTACTACCACCTGTGACTAACATTACTAGTTTTACTCGCCAGCCCGTAAAATCTCCCCCTCCAAAATCGAACTCCCGGCCAGTGATCAGACCTACCCTTATAGCCAATCAAACTCCGAGTTCGCGTCATGGCCCAAACCTCCCTACTGCAACAAACCCCCAATTAAACAAACCAACCCTCTCTCTACCAAGTCCCTGAACATTCTGCAACTGAAGTGTAATGACATCTCAAAATTACACCTCAAATAGCAGCCTCGTAAGCTCGTAAAGCATCCGAAATTGCATTCTTAATGGGCGAGTAAAATATCCATATTGCGGTTTTTCAAGAATCAAAGTTACACTTGAACAAGCGCTTTCCCTCGCTGTCCGCAAACAATATAATTATTGGAATGCCATTTACAAATGCTTCCTAATCGAGATACTAGATTTAGTGGAAGACGGAATTTTGGAGGCGCAAGGCGTACAAGGCCTGCAACCAAAATCTCCGAATCACAAACTTATATCCCTCCCCGCTTTATATATCTCTCCCAAAGACTTGAAAGCTTTCATTATAGTTCTCTTATTTCATGAAAGAAGTATTGTCTTCTGTGACGCCAATGCCCAATCCCTCTCTGGTAGTCCAATATTCTCGAAGACCAACAAGAGCCAGAAACAGAGCCAAAATAAATGAATCTACTTTTACCGCACTAAACGGCCATTATCAAACAATGCATTTTAAATCTTTATCTTTCTGATTAAAAATTTGGAGAAATTCTTAAGAGTTAACCTTCCCGAAACCAAACAAAGATCAATTCTTTAGACTCGTACAACCCAGTTTTGATTTTAAGCCAATCTGTCAAAACTTTAGCATATTTGATCCATCGCACCCTAACTAAATTCCTACCCATAGCCAACCATCAACATGGGGCCCCAAATATGCCACACTTGATTTATCAAAAGATTTTGACGTGGTTAGCCATTGCACCCTCCTGAATCTCCTTCAAGCCACCAGCGTACCGGAAAGCCTAATTAAGTGGTAGTCGAACTACCCGAGTGGAAGTCTTGTCAAAACTTAAGATTGTTCATTTCGGACAAGCGTCCCTCATGGCTCAATCTTATCCTCAACACTTCTAA